GGGCTGGGCTTCCAGCCAGAGCGCGCTTCCCGGGCTTGGAAGCTGGAGGTGAAGCTCGCGTGAGCCCTAGTGTCTGACAGAACTGGGACTGGGCAGCTCCCCGGGGCCCCCGACCTCCAGGGCGCACAGGGCCCGAGGCAGGGACAGGACTCAGAGAGAGCTGACAGGGCAGCAGGCTCCTAGGAGAGGCCCAGAGGAAGGCCAGGCTGGGGAGGTCCTCCTCATCCGCACTGGACCTGCCCTCTGGCCCCAGAGTCTCGGCAACAAGGGAGGTGTCTCTGGGAATGGAGGCGTCCCTGGGTCCCAGTTCAGAGTAAGCCTGCCGNCTCTGGGAATGGAGGCGTCCCTGGGTCCCAGTCCAGAGTAAGCCTGCCCGCGACCCTGGGGAGGAGAGGGGGTGCCTCGAGCAAAGCGTGGTGGGTACTCCTGACGTCCTGAAGAGACAGCAAACGCCTTGGGCCTGGACAGGTGGGCCTCTGCTCGGCAGTGACTTTGACGGTCCTTGAAGTCAGTGTCTGGTGGGCAGGCTTTGTCACTGATCCCCAGCTGGGGGCCATGGTCACGCCTCTGGGCATCTTGGCCAGCTGCAGACTCAGAAGGACTTGGGTCCAACAGGGGAGCGCCGTGACTCGGGGGTGCCTGCCCATCCTCCTGCTCCTCCGATGCCAGGAGTCGCTTCTCTAGCAGCTGGGGGAAGAGAGGGACAGTGACTGGCTCTGCACACAGGTGTGCGAGGAGGAGGAGCGTGGGTGATGGGACAGTGGGATTGGGGGAAAGGGGGCGCCACTGTGATTCAAATACAAAACAGACATGTGGCTCTCCTGCCATCCCCTGGGCCATATTCCCTCCCCTTCCTTCCCTCCCCTTCCTTCCCACCCTCTCCTTCCTGTCACCCTCTTCTCTCCATAGTCCCCTCCTCTTGTGGTCCTGCACTGCACCCACCCCAGGGCTGGCCTCTCAGCGGGCCGTGCCTACTGGCAGGGTGGGGTTGACAGAGTCCAGTGGGCCCTGTTCTGGGTTGCTCCCTGCCTTGGTTTACCTGGGTGCTCCCTGGGGTCCCCCCACCCCTGAACTACCTGGCATCCCTCCCTCACCTAGGGCCTGTCCTTTCCTCAAACTCACCTGGGGTCCCACCCTCCCCTGGCTCACCTGGGAAGGAGTCAGTCCTTCCTCCCGATCCAACTCCTCAGCTAGGGCCAGGGGATCCTGCCGCGTGTCCGGGGAAAGCAATTGTTTTACGAATCCGAGGTGAATGACCTCATCCACCTGAGACAGAAGGAAGAGGCAGTGAGCACCCTTGGCAGGGAGTAACCTGTGAGTCAGCAGGACCTGGAGGACAAGCGAGAAAGCAAAGACCCACCCCATCCTCCTGCACACAGTGGGTGTTTTACTCTGTCACAGTCATCAGCCACGCACAGACACACATAGAGACACCACACAGGCAGACACACACACCCATGTACATGCAAAGACAAGGGCACAACCACATACACACAGATAGCACACACCACACAGAGCACACACACAACACACACACATGCGCACACAGACACACACACACTCAGGCACCAAGCTCAGGAACAAAGAAGAGACCTCAGGCCCTGGGTGCTGGAGTCCACCCTCCAGAATCCTATAGACCCCAGAGCTCAGAGCCAGCCCACCTCGGCGACGAAGTCTTGCTGGCAGCACAGCTGGTCCAGGTAGCTCAGGAGACCCTTGTCCGGCAGCAGGTCCTTTCCTCCATCCTCCCATTCTCCACCTGGCTCCCCTGCGGCTGAGTGGCCCAGCCCCAGCAGCTCGTCCATGAGGTCCATGTACTCCTGCACGGCCGCGGGGGGGATCCCATCGGGTGACTCCGTCTCCTGGGGCCATTGGGGTGTGCGGGCTCGCTGGGCCGTGGGTGCAGCCTTCCTGGGAGTGGGAGCTGGGCAGAGAGGGAAGAGGAGGGGGGTGAGGGGATAAGGCTTCCACCTCCTGAGCACTCGATGGTGAGGGCAGTGTTTGGGGGCATTAACATGAGTGTGGCTGGGTCAGGACCACCTGAAGCTGTGTGACCGTGTCAGGGGAGAGGGCCCAGGGGAGCATCCAAGGGAGTCATGTGTGAGGATGTGTGGAACCACCGATTCTCCAAGGGCCCCCCACCCAGCCCGCCTCTCAGCAGACTTTCTGTTGGGTCCTCTGACAGGGAGTTGGGAGAGGGGTTAAGAAAGCCAACCAGGTCTAGACCCCATGGTGACAAAGGGCGGCTAAGGCTCTGGCTCTCAGGGCTGTTTCAGTTGAAAACCAGAGCCCCCTTGAAGGAAAAGGACCGATGTGGGTGGGGAAGGGGCCTGCCCTAGGCCCTGTTGCTTTGGCCAGGGGTCCTGGGGGATCCTGCTGGCGTACCTGGCTGTGGGCCCACCACTGGGGCTCGGGGCCCCCGAGGATCAGGCCTTGGTGGGGCTGGAGGAGGCTGTCCCTGCGCCCCCTTCTTTAACTGCAACTTCTGAAACCGCATTTCCTCCTGCGCCTCGAACTCCATGAACCTGGGGGGTGGGGGGCACGGGCTGAGCTGAGACGGAGGCCGCCGGGGCGCAGCGCAGGCAACAGCTGATGGAGGGAGGGGAGAGCCAGGGCCTTGGGGCTGTCAGGGCCGGGCCACCGAGGACGCAGGAGGCGGGCTGGCGGGGCACATGCCCTGCACAGCCCCTCTGGGTAGAGTCTGACCCCACTGGGCTGGGCACCTTCGCCCCAGCCTGTCTTGGGCCTTCATGTCCAGCCAAGGAAGGGTCAAGATCAGAGGAGGGTGGAGCTCGCGGGGGAGGTAAGACAGAAGCACCCGCGCTCTGACGGTGAGGGAGAGCCTTCCCGAGGAGAAGGGCCTCTGGGCTGGGAGGACCGTGTGCTGGCCGCCAGCCCTCCGCCCAGCACCCTCTCTGAGGAGCATCATCACAGCTGGACCCTGCCCTGCAGTGGGCCCACCACCCACCGCAGTCAGCTCCCCTGCCCACAGCTGTTGGGAACAAGGCCCCTGACTCACTTGTCTGCCATCTCGTGATAGATCCTCCTGTCAAAGTTGCTTTTGCCCTGCCACGCGTGCACGGCCCGCCACATTCCCTCCTCCAGCGCCATGGTGGGCTTCAGGCGGGACAGGGACCGCAGCTCTGGGCTGTGTGTAATGCCTCAGGGTCAGTCCGGGGCTACAGCCTGCCCTCCACCCGCCTGACCACCCGAGCTCTGAGGAGCACATGTCCCCAGCCCTCCCAGCATGACTGAGCGCTGGCCGGGGTGGGGGAGGCGTCTGTGTGTGAAAGACAACCCGTCCCGGCTACTGTGGTTCCTGCCTCACATTCGCGCCAGCCATGAACCTGGACTCGAGGCTGACCGTCCACTCCCACCCTATAGCTGGGACACCACCCACAGACCTTCCTGCCAGTATCCCGGGGTCAGCCAGCCTGCACGCCCCTCCCACGTTCCTCGTTGAGGTGAGAGCTCCAGGTGAGCCCTGCGCCCTGCCCAGGGCACTCACATGAGAAAGCAGGAAAGAGCTTCCACATCAGGACTCTGGGGAAGGTGCTCCCGGGCCAGGGCCTTGAAGCACTGCCAACGTCGGAAGTTCACGTACACACTCTTGGGGTTGCAGGAGTCATCTGGCGAGGCCTTGGGCCGGGAGGTGCCCTGGCTACCTTCCCTGGAAGCCCCATGTGGCCGTGCCCCAGGGTTCATCGAGGTCACGATGGGGGCCAGCTGGGCAGCTGGTGGTGGAGCTTGAGCTGGAAGGCTGGGAAGCCAGCCTCCCTCGCTGGCGTGGGTGGCCCCAAAAGTCGACGTGGGCATAATGGTTTCCACCGCAGAGGCCTCCAAGAAGAGGGGTGCAGGACACACAGCACCCTCACAGTGGGCCCCTGGAACATTCCAGTCGAGGGGGGCCTGACTCAGGACAATGATCTGAGTCTGGGGGTTCGGTGGTCGGCCCCCTTCTGACCTGACCTGGTCCATGATGTTGCAGGTTCCAGTCCCAACCGGGCCTTGACCAGCGTCTCCTGCCACCAGAGGTGTCCTGGGCAAAGCCGGCAGCACCGAGGGGCGGCCAGGAGGGAACGACAGGGTCGTGAGTAACTGCAGATGCTGCTCCCAAGATGGCCTGTGTGCAGGGCCAGTACTGGGCGCAGGAAAGGCCTGTGCTGTGAAAGGAGTGGTGGAGGCGCCAGGGTTCAGGGGCACATCCGCTCCCCGCACTGCAGATGCTGTTGAGACAAAGGGGATGGGTGAATGGAGCAGGACAGCCAGCCAACGGGACTGAGGCGCTCTGGGTCCCCTTTAGCCACCGGGAATCAGAGCAGTGAGTCTCAACACGAGGGCCATTTGGACGGGGCAAACTGTGGAACTGGCAAATATCCTCCAGTCACTGTCATGCTCTGACCTCCAGGTGAGAATTGTGCCCCTGGAGAGCCTGCTCCCTGACCACTGTCTGTGAGAAGGATCAGCCCAGCCAGCGCTGACTGAGAGCCTCCCTAAGGACTCCCGAGCACCCGGCCCTGCCAGCCTCAGAGACTGTCGCCCAAGACATGGCACTGGGCAGAAATCCACCCTATGGGAAACAACCCTACACTAGCGGTAGCGACCTTGTCCAAGGTAAGTTCTAGGCTCCCAAAGGGCCTTTGAGGATTGTAGGTGTCTGGACACATCCCCGCTCAGAGGCACTCAAGCAGAGTGCTTGTCCAGGGGAACAAGCTACATACCACATGCCCCTAATTGCTCAGGACAGGCGTCCTTGGACATTCACTAAGGACACAGGGGAGCACCTTCCTGCCTCTGTGCTACTCCCCTCGCCCCCTTTCAAAAGGGAACCGCCTTCACCGACCTACCAAGGGAAACCAACCACGCTCCACATCCGTTTTGTGTCCCTGAAGCAGGACCTGGACTATGGGCAGAGCCCTCGTCTCAAAGGTAAAAGGCCCGGCAGGGGGTGCGCCCTGAGATACACGACAAGGGGAAGTGGGTCTGAAGAACTGAGCTGCCACAATGCGGGAACAATTGGGGACAACTCGGGGGCACCGAGCCCCATGTTGGTGGAAGTTACCCGCTGCCCTGCCCCTGCGGAATCCGAGACAAGCAGCAGCTCCCTGGGCTGAGAAGTGAGCTCTGGGCTGGAGGCAGTGGAGGAGCCCTGGGCTGCAGCCGGTGGAGGGCCTTCCAGCCCAGCCCTCGGGGAGGTCATTTCATTGTAGACTTGGCCACGGACTGCCCCACTGGACAGCTTTCTGGCTAAGACCCCTCTTCTCACTGCCCCCATTGGCTCTAGCACACTCAGCTCGCACCCCTTAGAGAGAGATGGTGGGGCAAGCTCCAGGAGCCTGAAGAACAGCACAGAGGACTAGGCTTTCCCGTGACCCTCCCTGTGCCACCACCACGACATAACCCACCACTCCCTCCACACACACATGTCCAAGTGGCTTGTCTCCCCTCTAGAAAGAATCCATGTGCCTGCTGCCGCCCCTTCTCCACACCCAGGAATTTCCCCGGAGTCACCCCGATCCACCTCTGAGGAGCCCTCCTGTCCAGGGCTGTCACAGGTTTCCACTGGCTCCCAGCCTCCCTGGGTGACAGGTCCTTGGAAGCCCAGTGGTGTCTCCTTGCCCTACTTCAGTTCCAACCGTGTTCCCCCAGTGGAAGTGTCACCTTTTAATTCCAAGTTTTGAGGGACAGTTTCAGTTTTTAAATCACCGCCCCCCTCAATCTATAGGCTTACCTCCTACTGAAGCCATCCCCACAGGCTCAGGCGCTGGCCACCGCTGCCTAGTAGCCTCCACAAAGAGAAAATGCTAGCACAGGACCCAGAGAGTGACCTGCTCCAACAGATGCTCAGCATCCAGTGGAGGGAAGGGTTTGGATTTAAACAGCAGAATGTAGGACCCCAGACATTCTACAGCGGGGGAGGGGCAGGGGCAGGTGGGCCTGGGTGGGGGTGGGAGGGGAGACATTCCATGGAGGGTCTGGCAGGTAGGCAAGAACCAGCAGCAGTCCTTTCAGATTTTATGTGGCTATAGGATTGCTGTGTCTCTTTAGGCAATTTACACAGTGGTGGTTTTAGTTTCATTTATTTAATTTTATTTTTTTCAAAATATACTTTAATTGATTTCAGAGAGAGGACGGGAGAGGGAGAGAGAGATAGAAGCATCAATGATGAGAGAGACATTGATCGGCTGCCTCCTGTACCCCCCACTGGGGATCGAGCCCACATCCGGGGCATGTGCCCTGACCGGGAATCGAACCTCCATCTCCTGGATCCTAGGTCGATGCTCAAGCGCTGAGCCACGCCAGCTGGGCTATACTGGTGTTTTTACATTCACGGCACAAAGGCTTTACTCAATGTGACTTTATTTCAGTTCTTGATCCATTCACCTAGATTTGGGCCCCTCCACCTGCTTCCTACGTGGCTCTCTGCTCACCTCAGCACAGGCTCCACGTTCTGGACAAAATTCAGAATATACTCCTGAGGAAATAATGGGAACTGATGGCCGCAGGGGACCCAGTCCGCANGCCTGCTGCCGCCCCTTCTCCACACCCAGGAATTTCCCCGGAGTCACCCCGATCCACCTCTGAGGAGCCCTCCTGTCCAGGGCTGTCACAGGTTTCCACTGGCTCCCAGCCTCCCTGGGTGACAGGTCCTTGGAAGCCCAGTGGTGTCTCCTTGCCCTACTTCAGTTCCAACCGTGTTCCCCCAGTGGAAGTGTCACCTTTTAATTCCAAGTTTTGAGGGACAGTTTCAGTTTTTAAATCACCGCCCCCCTCAATCTATAGGCTTACCTCCTACTGAAGCCATCCCCACAGGCTCAGGCGCTGGCCACCGCTGCCTAGTAGCCTCCACAAAGAGAAAATGCTAGCACAGGACCCAGAGAGTGACCTGCTCCAACAGATGCTCAGCATCCAGTGGAGGGAAGGGTTTGGATTTAAACAGCAGAATGTAGGACCCCAGACATTCTACAGCGGGGGAGGGGCAGGGGCAGGTGGGCCTGGGTGGGGGTGGGAGGGGAGACATTCCATGGAGGGTCTGGCAGGTAGGCAAGAACCAGCAGCAGTCCTTTCAGATTTTATGTGGCTATAGGATTGCTGTGTCTCTTTAGGCAATTTACACAGTGGTGGTTTTAGTTTCATTTATTTAATTTTATTTTTTTCAAAATATACTTTAATTGATTTCAGAGAGAGGACGGGAGAGGGAGAGAGAGATAGAAGCATCAATGATGAGAGAGACATTGATCGGCTGCCTCCTGTACCCCCCACTGGGGATCGAGCCCACATCCGGGGCATGTGCCCTGACCGGGAATCGAACCTCCATCTCCTGGATCCTAGGTCGATGCTCAAGCGCTGAGCCACGCCAGCTGGGCTATACTGGTGTTTTTACATTCACGGCACAAAGGCTTTACTCAATGTGACTTTATTTCAGTTCTTGATCCATTCACCTAGATTTGGGCCCCTCCACCTGCTTCCTACGTGGCTCTCTGCTCACCTCAGCACAGGCTCCACGTTCTGGACAAAATTCAGAATATACTCCTGAGGAAATAATGGGAACTGATGGCCGCAGGGGACCCAGTCCGCAGAAATTAGGACCCACTCCGCAGACCCAGCATGTTGGGTGCTGTGTGCACGTCCTTCTTAAGGAATCAGGTCTGTGCCCCAGGTGCCCTCCAGCGCTGGGGCTCTGCAGGCTGCAGCCGGCCCAGCCTCACCAACGATGCCCTTTGCTCCGGTCCATCAGGGCAGCGCCAGTAGCCTGCACGGCAAGACCAGAATCCCTGCTTTCTGCTTCTCAGTATTATGCTGTTCAGTGTTTAATATTTTTACCTTTTGAATGATTTTAATGTAACGTTTTATAGAAATAATGACTTTGCATAGTTCACAAACTGCAAAATGGAAAATGCAGTGATGAGTCTTTCTCCCACCGCTTTCTCCTCTTGCAAATGACCGGGAAGAGGGTCAGATGATTTCTGTTTCCTTGGAACGTATGACAAACTCAGGTCAGGGAGCTGATTCTGCTGCTACATATACATGTTCCATTGCCATCTGCAATTCTGCAATATAATATGAAAAAGGAGGGAGGGGAGGGAGAAATTGTTCCCGTGCTACCGGCTATGTCACTGGAAACTGGCCAGGCTGTCAAGGCTGGATCAGTGTCATAAGCACAGCTCTGCGATGGAAACACCTGTGAATCAGCATTTACTGAAAAGCCGCCCGTCCTAAATAAATGCACCCAGGCAAACACTCCCGCACAGCGAGTGCGTCTGGAAAACCTCCAGGAACGGAGTGAGGCGCAGTCTCTCTCGAGTGTTTCCCGGGTCTAAAGTTCTTGGCCAGAACTGTGTGGTGGAACCCCCAGACTCGCCGGGAGGAAGGCCCCCTCCTTAGACACCAGGGACAGGCAGCGCGGAGGGCCTGGGGCGCTCGCCCGGCGCAGGGCATGGGCTCTGGGCGCGCCCCTCCCAGACCCAGGAGGGCGGCAGCTGAGTGCGCGGGTTGCGCGTTTGCAATTCTGAAATCGCAGGAGCTCGCTGCACGCTCGCTGGTTTGCACGACGGAGAGTCAGGGAGGCTCCGGAGGACCAGGACTTGCCCTCGAAGCTTCCCAGGCGCCCCCGCCCTGCGCCTCTCTCCTCTCCTGCAGGGGCGCCTGGGCCTTCCCAGGGCGCCTCGCGCCAGGACGCAGGGGCACGCCCCCTGGGGGCGGGGCTCCGTCCTGCAACGGCTCCCAGCGTCCGTTGCGGCGGTTGGCTGTGGTTGGTGCGCATGCGCTTGCGCGCACCTAGGGTCCCAACGGCTGTCCTGGCCCCGCGGGGCTCCGGGCGCCGGGCCTGGCATGGCGGCCTGCGGAGTCCGTTAGGTGACCATGGAGGTGAGGGGCGCGCGGGCTCTTCACCCCTCAGGCGTCCCCCCTTCGCTGTTGTTCGCCCTGTGGGCTGTTTGTGCCGGGCCTGTGTTCAGGTGACCCCGGGAACTGGCCCC